TGGCATGGTTCTATGAGCTCTTACACATACCCTGTTTGAGTCATTGGCTTCATGTTCAGTATACCTTCTTTTCCTGAAACTATGTTTTCTTCTTGCCTGTGGTCACTGTCATTCAGATATATATATGTCATTGATGCTTCCTGCATTTTCTTTCTCAACACTTCGTTCCTCCTCTCTTCACACTGAGCCATTCTTCCTATGTTTGGGAGAGTGATCATTCTGTTATCTTTTGTTGTAATAGATTCATTGACTGTTTTGCATCTTCTTTTTCACTGACCCTTGGACAAGATCCTTAAGGCTGGCATATGGATGAATGTGCACATTCAAGGATCTTTATCATCTGGCTGTTTTGTCCCCCCCCCCAACATTTGCTGTTCTTCAATGAAACTGAATAATGTCTTTGAGAAGGGTAAGTACATTTTCTTTTTTAGCACCCTTTTGCTGTTTTATAGAATCCTGCCAGATGGTTGGTGTTGTCTTGCAGAATATGCTTATTTTCCATTTTCTGCATCAGGCCATAGGTAATGAAAAGCACTCAACACATTCGTTCTACCTGTGTTCACTGTTGAGATGGACTGTTCTGCAATATTACTGGAAGTATTATTGTGGTATTAAAATTTACTTAATTGTCCAATCCAGACTGTACCATTCAATGGACTATCATGGAAAAAGCTGGCACCAAGGAAGTGTCTGCCCACTTCTTTGGCTTGTGCTTTTTTGGCTTTTAAAAGTGGGGTTCCCGGCAGGTGTACGATGGAAATATAGTCATTTCTCAGGGTCTTCCAAACATGAAATCTCCACCCCCTTCTTCGAGTGGAGCAAAGAAGATTCTTGCCACTCACCAGTTCCTAGCCACTGAAATGGTTGACCTTGGAGAGTTCCTCTGTTCACAGCACTAATGGGAAGTAGGTTGGTGGTGACACTGTTTGTGTAGTGCATGTCAATCCTCAAACAGCTAGTGTGCCTTTCTACTGTAGCTTGAGTCTATCCAGTTGAGTTGAGGTGCAACAAGCACCATATGGTCTGATCATACCATAACCACAGTATACTTCTTGGCTTGCCAACCACTTGTGTGCAGGTGCTTGTTTAATCATTCTGCCTATCCCTGTGATACTTCGGGCTTTTGTGCCTTTCCCTTTGTTTCCCTGGTTGTGATGAGATGGGGTATCCTATGGAGCCCTTCCCATTGGGTGTCACACTCTATTGGGCTTTCCCTTCAGGCACGTTCTGAAGGAAGCTTATCTAAGTTTAATGTCTGCATTGGCCTCTCCATCATTTCATGGTGGGATTTTAGCTATTCTGTGTGTGTGGGGTGATGTATTGTCTTGGAAGTTAACATTATCCTTACCTGAAAATGTATTTCAGATAAGATACTTGCCTTGGCACATCTCCCTACCCATCCTCTACACTTCAGAAATACATTTTATGTAAGGAAGATGTTATCTTTTGTCTTGTCAGTATCTATATTGTGTGTTTTTAATTGGTTGAACAACCTGTAGTCCTTATAAGAGAAGAGAAAAAATCTAAAAATTTAAAGTCAGAATGCCATCATGTCATATGACTCAGGTGCAGATTGAGAATCTATTTGATTATTTCATTTTAAAATTAGGACATTAAATCTTAAGTAATATAAAGATCTGAATTTTAAAGTAGATTATAATGCTTAGTTTATTAACATAAACTGATAATACAGTAATTTAATTTAATTTTGAATGTAACTATAAAATAAAAACATTGTTAGATGAAGTTTAATATTGTGCATTAAAATAACTTTAGAATGCCTAAAGGTTTAAATGTCTAATATTCCTGTCATGGAGGTGGCACTTCTTAAATTTCTTTATGTATGTTTGCTTTATGAAGATATAAGTTTTATATTTTCATATTCTAAACATATAAAAAGAAATTCAGACCACTGTTCAGGATATTGCTCATACTTTGGAGAGAAGTTAATATTGGTCTTTGCTTTATAGTATTGTTATTCGTAATTAGTCATCAGAAGTAAAGGTAATTCAACATTATTGTATAGCTCGATGATGAGGAACCCACTTTGAGGCTAATAATGGTTGGAGACGGCTTGAATAGATAATGTACCTGATGATGACAAAACCTTGTCGAAACGTTGTACATTTGTTGTTATGTTAAACTTATATTAAAGTTTTTCTTCATTACCCATTCAAGCCATCTCCAACCATTATTATTGTATAGTGTCATTATCCAGTAGGCTAGACATGGCTTAATAGTGACTAGGACTGTGAATCTGATAGCCCATTGTGTAGCTTTGTGCTTAACCACAAACAAACATATTCACAGGAAGTTTTGATGCAATATTAAACTTAAATGGACTTTCTTTTGTTACCATTTTAAATATGGTCCTTTGTTTTATTTTAGTTCGAATCTTTTTTTGAGTGAAAAATGTGTTTTAGTTCATTGGAACTCTAATATGCAGTCTTTAGTGTCTTCAGCTTTATCTGAACAGGTTATTATTATTTTTGACTATATGTATTGAGTCGTCAAGACATTAATGGCACTTTTTTTCGGTAAAAAAACCTGAACAACTTATATATCAAAACAAAACATTTATTAAATGAAATAGACTCCATTCTTATCTATTATACATTTTTATCTTACAATCAGGTTGTTAATGCCCTGATTAAAGAAATCACTTTGAAACAAAAAAAAAACATGTTGATGTTCTCGTTAATACCTTCCACATTTGCATAAGATGGTGTTGCAGAGAACAAAAATGATGGTAATCTGATGGTGCCATGTCTGGAGAATATGGTGGGTGGGGGAGAACTTCCCAACCTAACTCCATAATCTTGTGTTGCATCAAACGTGCCACATGTGGACGTGCATTGTTGTGGAGATGAAGAACACGTTTCCAATTGACGAGTGATGGGCATTTCTGATGAATGGCTTGATTTATATGTTCCCATTGATGACTATAGATCTCAGCATTGACAGTTTGCTGCGGATTGAGGAGTTCAAAATGAATTACTCCTTTGATGTCCCACCAAATGGAAAGCATCACTTTCTGTGGATGGAGTCCAGATTTTTGGGTCGGAAGTGGTTTTTGTCTAGAACTGAGCCATTGTTTTTGGCCTTTAATAATCAAATAGAGAATCCATTTTTCATTATGCATTACGTGCCAGAAAAGATGAAGCAGTGTTCACACGTTGGAAACTATGATCATCGGAGGGTTCGTGAGGCACCCAAACACCTTCTTTATGTGGTTCTCCCATATTCCTTAGATGTTTACATATTGTTCTATGAGAGGCATGCAATTTCATGGCCATTTCAGGAGTGTGTTGCCTGGGTTAGACACAACAAGCATCTTCAAAGCATCAATATTAATTCCAACATGTTGGCACCTACCACCAAAGTTTTTAAGGCTAAATTCACCTGAACGAAATTTGCTGAACCATCGTTGGCACTTACAAACGTTCAAAACATTTCTATAAACCTCTTTGACATTCTTTGTGGCTACAGAGGCATTGTTTCCTTTGTTGTATTCAAACAGCATTACATGTCGAATACGTGTCTTGTCATGTGCCATTACTATAAGGCATTAGAGTATACTAAACTGTACACATTATATAGTCTACACTAACGTGACGTTTAGGTGGTTCTTTTAACTATTATACATGATGTATGTTTTTTTTGGGAGGTAATGAAAGTGTTCCAAAACACGACATTAATTTCTTGATGACCTAATTTATATATATATGAGTATCTTTCAGCTCCTTTTTTTACTTCAAAACTTGTTGCTTTAAAATTATTTTTTAACATGAATGGACTAAAGAATCAAGTATCTGTTATGTCTATGCTTTGATTCAGTTTTGTCTTGGCTAACAAAAAATTATTTACTCATGTTTCTTATCTTCTCTAGTTCATTGTGTTTTTCATACTTTCTAGCCTACTGTGGATTCCTTACATGAAGCTAACTGCACTGGAACATCATTTTCATATGGTTATAACCTTGTCTTTGATATAGTTGGTTTAGTTTTATTATTCTTTACCCTCTATAGGCTCTGTTTTGCGATTGGTTAGATGTCCATTTATAATCTTGTCTCTGAACATTATTTTGCTTGATTCAGTTCTGGTTTCTTACTGGTGTAATTTGACATGGGTATTCTTTGTTTTTACTGTTATCTGATTTCATTCTTTAATGGGTCTGTGGTTTTTGTGGGATGTAAATGTTTTCCTATGGGCTGCTACATTAATTTCCAACTTATATTTATTGGCTAGATTTTCTCTTCTTGAGTTTTTGTAGATAGTATCTGAGCTGTTATAGCAGCTAACATGTCTTTTTCCCAATAGTCTTGTCATACCTGAACAAGCTAGCAACATTGTCACACACACATTATGAGTTCCATGTAAACAGTTTGTTGACTTGACAGGATTACAGCCACTACGTCTTCCCAAGAAGTGATATGTGTTCCATTAATCCCACTTCCATTTCAGTATGAGTATTCTAGCTCAATTTCAAAACAGGCACTTAGAAATTCTTGTTCCTACTGTGTCATCCTACTCTCTTCAGTGTAACGTTGCTGTAGGAAAAAGTACTAGGTTCTACAAAAATATATTTCAGATAAAGGTAGTATATAGTAATCACATCATTAATACAGCTCACAGGAATTCTGTATACACAAATGCTACGTTACAAGATTGCAAATAGTAAACAAGAAGAAGCATATGGAAGAATAAAATATATAATTTTTGAAAAACATAGATGAATAGCTAAGTGATGGGAAAGTTATCTCTTTGAATTTCATTTTACTTCTCAAATGTTAACCTTTTCCATTATTCAAATGGCAAGGATATTCTATTGGAATAAAGTTTACATATGTTAATAACTTGATGCTAATCACAGTAATTTGTATATGCACTTGTTGTTCTGTAGAATTAATACAGCATTGGATATTGTGCAAGGTAATGTTACTTATTGATCTCTGTAGTTTTCATATTCCTTTATATAAATTGCACCTGATTGTTTTTAGAAGTAGAGAAGATGAGAAAGAGTTGGAACAAGAACCATCGACTGTTGTCACAGTCACATATCCACCACTGTGGAGAATGATTTACCTCATGTGGAGTGCTCCTGTCACCAAACTGTGGACATTTCAGGTGAAAACTGAACCTCCAATTATATTGTTCTCAAAAAGTAAAGTGTAATTTGTTTTAATAGTAAATAACTACATTGTTTAGTTTTCTTGTTTGTTGGAGGTATTTATTGTGCTTTCTGCATCTTTTTAATTTTTTGTGAAGTGTTTTTTTCATTTAAAAGATATTTTTGTGTCATAGTTTAAAGTTTATCTTTGTGTAGGGTGTTTTTATTTGGAGATTATTTCTTTTGTATAATGTGTTTTATATATAAAAATTATATATATATATATATATATA